CTGTTTTTCTCTATGTCTCTATTTTCTCTTCACTTAAAAAAATCACTGATGATGAAGAAATAAATAAACTAAATAAACAAATATTTGGTTTCGTTTTCTACTGAAGTGACACAAAAAGGTCACTAATGATGAAGAAATAAATAAACTAAATAAACTAATATTTGGTTTCGTTTTCTACTGAAGTGACAAAAAAAGCAATAGATACTTTGGTTTTGTGGCTTGTAAGGTGGAGTCTCTGCGGATTTGGTTTGCTTCTCACACACATGCCGATGAATCTGATATAATGGGTATCTTGTCAGTTTGGAGACGAGGTGAACACCTCAGACGCTTAGTCATGTTCTTTCAGTCCCTCCTAAGAAGCTTTTGTTGGGGCCTACTGCTGTTATGCAGAGGGTTGAGAGCAGCTTAGGTTTGCAGAAAGCTTTGTCATGTTTCAGACACTTTGGATTGTTGGTGCTTTGCTTGCTAAATGTCCTAAATCCCAATATTAGAATTTCTGTTTTTTTGAGGCTTGTGTCTTTGATCATTAAATAAATAAATAAAAAATAGCTTCTGTATTGTTGTGCATATGTTGTACCCTTAAATAGCAAAGTGATTAAGAGGACAGTGTTTAAATTGGAGTGTTATAACAATAATTTGACTGCTTTTGCTAGAAATAACAATAATATGGTAATGAAATTCTGGAGTGACCAATGGTCAACATGATAAATTTACAAATTTGAGGAAACACCAAGAAGACGATCACAGCCGTTCTTCACAGCATGTCATTTTCAAATGGTCTAAAACGTGCTGCCTGACAGAAAAGGATGAGTTTGTTGCTGATTATGGTGGCAAAAGTTTATCTTTATTATCTTTATCAAATGTACTATATTCATTTTTCACATAATAATCAAAATCTTATTTTTTAAAGAATTTTTTAAATATCCTCGTTTTTTAATTTTATTTTTTGTTACTAGCCTTCAAAGTTTTAAAAAGAGACTTTTTACTGACGGTGCGTTCACCATAATCAAAGGTGAATTTAAGGCACAAGTGTGTAAAATGTTGCTTCTGTTTGTTCAGTCATCTAAAAAGCTATGTCTTCTTAGTTTATGCCACTCCTTTTGATTTAGAGCCCGGACTTGCTTTTATTTTTCATATATGTACATTGGATAATTTCAGGAATCACGAAGCGTTGTATGGAATGAAAAATTCGGACCTTTTTGATGTATAACTGGTTGATATTTACGCTCATGTTTGTCTGATTTTGCCATACTTGTTGACGTACACAGATCAGGTCAGTCACAAGACTCAAGCTACCACATGGTTTTAATGAATTCAGTTTAGTGCTTTGTTTACACTGAGTGTATATTCACATGCTGTGTCTGGAAAACCAATGAAGAAAACATTATTAAATAGCACCATCAGATACAGTTCAGGATAAATTGTTATGTTTGATTTCGTAGTTTGCATTGAGTAACTTTAAGGCTTTTAAAGTTTATATTTTACAAATGAAAGCTGGTGGAGGAGGGGACTTTAGAGCCAAAAAATGGCACGTACAAAGAGCAATTACATGTCGTCATTGCACTTTGCTTCAAAGGCTTTATTACTGTACATGTGATCTCACATGCAAACATTAGTTGAATTTGGGGTATATTTGAGTTGCCGATTTTGTCATGATTTTTGGGACTGATGCAAGTGTACCAATCGGTCATTTAGGAGAATTTAAAARCAAAAAATAAAAGTATTGTAGGTGTGAACCCTGCCTGAGATTAGTTTTGATGCCAAGAGTATGAAATATACTGCAGTACAACCTGTGAAATTACCTTTTTTTTTACCTGAATGTGACCAGCTGACTGACAGCCAGCCTGGTTGTAAAAGGCATTAGTTGGCAGGCTGCCATAGTAAGCACAGATGCTGGTCTGTAGCTCAGACTGGACACCGCCTCATGAGGTGATGTCATAGATGACTTACAGACGCTCCACTTTTCCGCCAGTGCAGCTGGAGATTTTCTGACCAAAACAGGTGATTATAGCCACTTTTACCATACATCATACAGTATGATCGTCTGAGAAACTCAGCATCACTTTTCTGCCCTCTCCCAGTACATGTGGGAGAAACTTGTGGAAAACTTTGCGGCATTGGGAGGACTGTCTGTAACAAAGTGCACTGTAATATCAGAGTGTGTAGGAAAAAGAAATGCTCAGTAAATAGATTCTCAGTGTTGCTCAAAAGCTTGTTATGTTATTATGAATTGTGTGCATCTGTTTTGGATTAACTGTTGACAGATTCAATGTTTACCAAGTGTTTATTTGACATATTGTGACATGTGGATTTATTGATCCTCAGAGGCATGTCAAATACAAATGTCACCAAATAACTCATGAAACCACCAACAGAACATTCTTGCAATTTGACATTACTCTGCTAAGGCTTGGCAAAAGGAGCTCCTTAATTTAACATTTCGGGAAATCAGCTTACTTGTTTTTTGACAAGATTGAGAAATCGGTGCATTATTTGCATAGCAACATAAAACAAACATTTTACTTTTAATGTTATCTCCCATCCTATTGATTTTGCCTTTGTGTGTTTTGGATTGTTTGTTTGTGTTTATAGTGTTAGCAAATTGTTTCCTGGACCACTAGGTGGATTTTATTAAAACCTTCACAGTTATTGGGTGTACCGCAACTCATTAACTTTTGGAGTCCACACAATTTAGGTTGTCCATTTTATGTAGCACATCTGTAAGGTGACTAGCCTGGCCCTTGCTTTCCTACACAATTCTGCTCATTTCTAGTTTCCCTTCACTGCTTGTACAAAGCAACGCAAAGGACAAGGGGCTGGTTTTAACCTGGCTAAAAGATGACACCTCTTGTGGAAGACTGGCATGTTCAGATGTAATCATTTATTAAATGCAATGTTTCACGTTTTGAACTTTTCTCCTGCTCATGGCTTTGCCTGTTGAGTGTGTTTCTCAAAATAAAAAAAGAAACTTCTTTTGCGCAGAACAAAACATCAAAATGGCTTGACTTCTACTGTCAATGCACTGGTTTTGCATTATAGTTTTCTACATTATTGGTGCATCTCTACAGGATTACATCCTGAAGTCAATGCAGCTTAAGCGTTTGTTCCCAAAGTTGGGTCGGAACCCCATTATGGGTCATAAAAACATCAAGTGGGGAATCCTCAGATGATCTCAAGAAATCAAATGAAATGTTAAAACAACTGCTAATAACAAGTTTTTATCACAGTTTGTTTTGAACAATAAAACCAACACAAAAGGCTGTTTGTGTTGTTATTGTGCCCTTGTTTAAAAGGGTTATTTGCAAAGTTTGTATTCTTCAAAGTGGAGTCCCAAGTCTCTGCCACAATTATTTTGTGGGTCAGAAGCTAACTTGCACAAACTTGTCCAGATGTTAAATGTAGCTGAACAGTAAACTCATATGACTGCAGTATGTTTTTTATTCCCAAGGTTCCTTCTCATCGATGATGCCAAGATGTTTAAAATTATTATATTCAGGTTAATCTTTTGATAAGGTGCAATCAAAATATGCAGTGCTGTGTAAATGTATTTGCCCCCTGATAGATTTCTACATAATCTGAGTAAAAATAAATGCATTTTCAATTGATGATATAATTTATTGAAAGAAAAAAGCTTTCCAAACCAACCTTGCTCTTCGTGTAAAAGTTACTGCCACCTTCTTAAATCATAAATTAACAGTTTTTTATTGACTTCGGTGTCACTTGGCACACCCACACCTGATTACTATCAGAGCCCCACAAAAAAACCAGAACAGTGTGTAAAGCACTACAGGCCTCACTTAAATGTCAGAGTTCAAGGTCATGATTCAACAATAAGAATGGGTCGAAAWGCAAAAATGACACCATGTGAGAGTTCCAAGGCCAAAACCTTTGCTTAAAACAACTACTACAAAGACCAGTCTCACATTTGCCCAAAAAAACATATTGATGATTTTCCCAAGACTTTTGAGAATTATTTATTTTGTGGACTAATAAGATAKAAAATGAACATTTTGAAAGGCATTTCCCCCATCACATCTGGTATTAAAGTAATGCTGCATTTCAGTAATAGAACTGACAGTCATACATGGTGGTGGAAGTGTTATCATCTGGGGATGCTTTGCTGCTTAAGGACCTTGATGACTTGCTGTAATTGATGGATAGCCTTTTCCATTTATTAAATAAAATCATCACTTSTGAAGAAGTTACCTTTCATA